ATCATATGGATCTCCAAGAGACCATTGTATTGAGAATCAAGAGAAAGAGAGAGAGGAAGCCATCTAGCTACTAACTACGGACCCGTAGGTCTACAAAGAACTACTCACGCATCATCAGAGAGGCACCAATGGACATGATGAACCCCTCTGTGATGGTGTCTAGATTGGATCTGGTGTTTCTGGAACTTGCGGCGGCTATAATTGATTTTTCGTCGACTCCCTAGGGTTTCTGGAATATTGGGGTATTTATAGAGCAAAGAGGCGGTGCGGGAGGCCACTTAAGTGGGCACAACCCACCTGGGCGCTCCTGGGGGCCCAGGCGTGCCCTAGTGTCTTGTGTTCCCCTCGTGCTCCCTCTCCGGTACTTCTTCGGCCCACTAGATGTCTTCTGGTTGAAAATGAATCCACAAAAATTTCGCTGCGTTTGGACCATGTTTGGTATTGATTTCATGCGATGTGAAAAACAAGCAGAAAACGACAACTGGCACTGGGCACTATGTCAATAGGTTAGTACCAAAAAATGATATAAAATGACTAGAAAATGATTGTAAAACATCCAAGAATGATAATATAACAACATGGAACAATCAGAAATTATAGATATGTTGGAGACATATCAGTCCATACCTTCGACTTGAGTGTAGCCTTGGGCGACAAGACGGGCCTTGTTGCGTACAACTGGTCCATCTTCATCTTGCTTATTTAAAAACACCCATTTGGTTCCAATGACATTGTGCCTCTCATCGGGCTTTTCAACCAACGTCCATACTTGATTCCACTTGAAATTGGGGAGCTCTTCATGCATAGCGTTCACCCAATCTGGATTATCAGGAGCTTCTTCAACCTTCATAGGTTCAATACTAGGAATGAATGAGTAATGTTCACAAAAGTTAGCCAAACGAGTTTTAGAGCGAGTAATTCTCCTGGTTTGAATATCATCAAAGATTTGTTCGACGGGATGATCTCTTGAGACTCTTGATCTAACTCGTGAGAGATTTTGTTTGTGTTGGGGTGGAACATCATCTTCATTGTCTTCTTCTTCTTCTTCTTGTCCTTGTTCGTTGTTGTTGGCGTTGTTGTTCTCTTGTGGAGGTGGAGAATGAGGTCGACGAGGTTCATCTTGTTGTACGTCCTCGTTTCCTTAGTCTTGACGTGTTCCACTCATGGATGCCTTCAAGTCAACTTGTGGTTCACCTTGGTGTGAAGTCGAGGCTTCCACTGGAATGGACGTAGTGCTCTCCTTTACCTCCGTTGGGCGAATCTTCCAATAGACAAGTCTTGAATTGCTTCTGGATCTTTGTCTCCTACATCAATTGGCAATTGCTCTACTTGCGAGATGTTAGATTCATCAAACTCCACATCTACCATCTCTTCAACCTTTTGGGTGAAATTGTTGTAGACACGGTAAGTGTGAGAGTTTGAGTCATAACCGAGTAGGAAACCTTCATGAGATTTAGGGGAAAATTTCGAACGACGATGCTTATCAAGAATGTAATAATTTGAGCCAAATACTCAAAAGTATCCAACTTGGAGTTTATTACCGGTGAGAAGCTCGTATGCCGTCTTGTCGAGAAGCTTGTGAAGATATAGTCGATTTGTTGCATGGCAACAGCTGTCTCAACCGTTTCCGCCTGAAAGTGTCTTGGCATCTTGTATTCATCAAGCATCGTTCTCGCTATCTCAATGAGTGTCCGGTTCTTCCTCTCAACAACTCCATTTTGTTGAGGTGTGTACGTAGCCGAGAACTCATGTGAAATCCCTTCTTCGTCAAGAAAGGTATCCACATTGGCGTTCTTGAACTCCATTCTGTTGTCGCTTTGAACCTTCTTGATCTTCACTTCAAATTGATTTTGGGCCTTCCCAGAGAAGTTCTTGAAGATCTTTTGCACCTGCGATTTATCATCAAGAAAGAACACCCACGTAAATATTGAAAAATCATCAACAATGACCAATCCGAATGAGTTACCACCGAGACTCTTGTAGGCGTTGGGACAAAAAAGATCCATATGAAGTAGCTTGAGTGCTCTTCTCGTGGTCACGATGTTCTTCACGAAATGACTTCCTCCAACTTGTTTTCCTGCTTGACAAGCACTGCAAAGTCTATCCTTGTGAAATATAACATCTTTAACACCAAGGATATAATCACCTTTAATAAGCTTATCAAGATTTTGCATGCCCACGTGACCTAACCTTCTATGCCATAACCTTTAGAGGAAGCGAATGGCTGAGGCAAGGGTGCGAGCAAAGTGCTCGGGTGCGCGGGAACTTGAGGTCGAGCAGGAGCTCGTCTCGGGCACGCGACAGCCAGGCACGGCCAAGCGGCGGCTGCAGCAGCAGCCGAGAAACAGCGGGCGTGCGTGGTGCAGGGTGGGCCGTGTGGGTGCGCTGTGGGCTCGGCTAGAAGAAGGCAGGAACCGTGGCGAGGCAGAGCCGTCGCCCGACCCTCATGGCAGCTGCCGCTTGAACCCCGCAGGTCGCCGCCCACGGAGCTTCTCGTTGCCCAGCCCCTTGGGATCACCAGTTCCAGCCGCCTCCGCTCTATTCTCGGTGCCGGCCCTCGCGAGCCCCTCCCCTTGTCCTCCTGCATCGTCCCGAGCCGCCATGGACGGCCGCTGCGTCCGCGTTGACTGCGGGCAAGCGTGCATGTCCGAGGCATACGGCCTCGCCTCCACGCCTCCCTTCCTGCTCCTCCTCTCACCCGAGCAGCGTGGCGCCCGCACCCTTCATGTGCTCGCCGCCGTCGTCCTGCTCCTGACCGGATCGGATCAGGAGCGCCGCCACTCGATCTGCAACCCCCTTGAACCGTTTTTTCATAATTCACCGAGGACCGCGTGTTGAATAGCCAAAACTATAGGGTGTTTTTTGCAAAATTGCCGCGACGGTGAACCCGCCAGAAGCACTGCATGCTTTATTAGTAAGGTATAAAGATTCCTTTGGTTTCCGAGTGCCAGACCGGTCAATCTTCGTGCTTATCCACCCGGAAAAAAATCTTTGTCCTTATTCATCTGAGATACAGTCCGGCACAAAAGGATGAGATGGAAAAAGAAATATTACATGAGCTACATATCAGTCGGCTCCAAGAGTGTCCCACCTCCTGTTTACTGACGATTTTGAAAAAAAATAAGATTGTTTAGTGGCAGTGTGATCAGCATTATCTTGTTACTACCTCCGTCCTGGTTTATTAGTCCCCATTGTAATTTGTGATAAATTTTGATCAAAGATTTAACTGATAAAATGTTAGTGCATGTCAACAAAAGTTATATCGTTGGATTCGTATTTGAACATAGTTTTTAATGATATAAATTTTGATGACATGCATAAATATTTTATTAGTTAAATTTATGGTTAAAATTTGACACATATTACAATGGGGACCAATAAACCAGGCCGAAGGTAACAGGTGACATGTCTAATACAATGTGCGCCTTCGTAGAAAAATACCATCAATCAGAGTTTGCGGTCATGTAGTCATTGCTATAGTGATCTGAAGGGGGCCCTCGCCATGGCGTGCTCCAGGGTGACAAGGGGCTCCAGGGTGGTAGGTGTGTTTTTATGAAATCTGTCCCTAGCATGAAATGAATTTTCGCCTAGCATTCAATTATTGATGAGTGATTAGTCTATACTATTCGACGAGCAGAGGTACCAATACCATACCCTTCTTCTTCTTCCTCTTGATCCAAGCCACGAGCAATCGATCTAAGGAGCCACTGCTGATGCTCCCCCGTCCATGCTTTTGCTTCGCCGCTGGCTCATCTGTCTGAAATCGGCCCGCTTCCAAGCTATTCCACAAGCACAAGTAAGCAGCTCGGCAAACATTCGGCTCGGCAATAGGTCAGTTCTGTCGCCGATTTTTCTTTCTTTGTCCTCTCGCCTCCCTCTCCTCCCTTCCCCGGCGCCGCCTCCGGCCGGAGCCCCTCGCGGTGGCTGGCGGCGGGGCCCCTTCTCTCTTCCTCTCGAGCGCGGTTGGCGCGGGGTGGACGGACCGAGCGGAGGCGTCGGGCGCGCGCGGGCCACGGGGGTTGCGGGCGGTTCTGGTGGTCCTTCGCCGGCCTTCTCCGGCGGGCCTGCCGCGGGGTGGTGATGCGGCCGGCTGGACGGTGGGGGCGGGAGGTGTCTCAGGTGGTTGGGCGCGGGAAGGCCCCCGGCCAGATCTGCGGCGGCGGGGGCCTGACGCGCGGCGCGGGGGGCGGATGGAAGCCGGATGGTGTCAGCTACCTAAAGATAAGCTTGTTACAGCATACCAGTGCAGTTAGAAGCAGAGGAAATCCAACGGTGGACAGATGCGTTCGAGACGAAGGGCCACGATGGACCAGTGCTCTGTTTTTACAGTGCCAGGCACTTTGCCACTGTCCTCCTTTCACCACTCTCTTTCTCTTTTCACCATGTGTGTGTGTGTGTGTGTGTGTGTCAACAGCCATATAAGCGCCTGCGTGCGTGGTAGAGGGCATCAATCAAATTATCCGCAATATTGTAAACCCCAGTTTCTTAGCTACCGTAGAAATCCCCAATTAATAGACGAGTCTCCGCCATCAGATCAACAAATTAATCTGCTTGGATCAGATCACAAACAAGCTATATTTAGATTCATGCTAAAATTGACTTCGTCTTAGCTTTGCATGACGTTTTAAAGATTAGTGCTTGGAGTGTCGACCATACTATGGGAGTACGGATTTTACTCTCTCTTAAGGCAAAGTTGTGTGATTTGTGTCTATCAGTGTTTAACCAATTTTTTCTAAACAGTTATTGGAATTATCTCTTTTTTTTTTGCGAGAACAGTTAGTAGGCTGTATATTTTACTCCAATTTTTCGGAGTTCTGATTTTCCACTGAAAGTGAAAATGATACATGTAGGGGTCATCAAATTTGTTTGTTTTCTGTTGTGGACTACTATCTTTCTTGGGGAAGTGGTCACTGCAAGTTAATGCGCCAGCCTTACTAAAGGCACATATGTTTGTTACTAAGTGCAGGTATTTCTGTACTTGTATATTCAGAAAGTAAAAGATGGACGGTGAGTGTAGCAGGGGTGATAATCAGGAGAGCATATTAAACCATCAAACTTCAGAACCACGCTATATGACATATGAATATTTGAAGAGCATCACAAATGACTTCTCCGAGGAGCGCATAATTGGCAGTGGTACTTATGGTGTTGTATACAAGGTAAGTCTTAAAGTTGCCTTTTCCATCTTTTATATATAATAATTTGGGAACACTTGACCAAATTAACAAACGAGTGGTTTTAAACAGGGAGTAGAAGATGGCAAAACAATCGCTGTGAAGAAGTTTAAGTCCTTGTTCGACGAGAAGAAATTTATGAAAGAGGTTAATTATCTTAAAATGCTTAACCACAAGAACATAGTACCTTATATAGGCTACTGCAATGAAAACCCCAAAACAGAACAAATGTACAATGGGAAATTGATTTTAGTGGAGGACCCACACATGTTGCTTTGCATGGAGTATCTCCCTAACGGAAACCTGAGAGATCATATTGCTGGTATGACACCTCTGTTATGTTACACTTCTTTTTTGCAGTTTGTTTCAGCCTTATTTGCGAGAGAAAACCCCTTATCTACCAAAGGTTTTCATTCTCTCCATTATATGGCCAGGAATCTGTCCTCGTTGATGAACAAGTAACAAATTCCTGGACCTATGAAGGCGAGGACAAATTATGAAGATTGATAATGTCACTTTGATTAGATGATAGTTTTTCTGTTTCTTCCACCTGAAATTAGTGCACCCAGGTTACAGCCTCAGGGAAACAAGTCATAGTCTAGCCATACCAAATTCAACAATCTGTTCTCAATTTGGAGCTCTCTTGGTGCCCAACTAACCCATTCAGGTTCAACCCCTGGTGGCCGCATTTAGAGTTGTTGCATACAGTTGGGTATGAGATGTTTATTTGACTCTTAATTTAGTTCCAGGCCGGCTGAAGACTGTTTTTACAAAAAAAAAAAGTTTAGCCTAGGACAGCCCATTGTTGTAGGTGTTGTAGTTTTATAGATGTACCTTGAAAAGCTTGGCTTTGTCCCCCGTATACTTTGTACATAATACCTTCTAATATCTCATTAATATGGCTAAGAAAACCTTGTGTTCAAATAAAACTGACTTCCATCTTTTGGTTACAGATAAATCTTCCAGACTTGATTGGTGGAAGTGGTACACAATAATTGAGGGTATTTCCCATGGATTAAATTACCTTCTTGGACAAGATCCACCGGTAACTCACCTGGACCTAAAACCAGAAAACATATTGCTAGATGATAATCTGGAAACAAAAGTTGCGGACTTTGGTTTGTCAAGACTGCTGTATGAAAACAATACTATCGAGACTGCGAACTTGGCTGGAACACTGTGAGTAATTGAATATACTGCATTGTTTATTGCTGATTTGCAAGAAAGAGCGGGTTTTCTACACCCCAGCTCGGTGCATCCATGCAAGAAAACATAGCAAAACATTTCAAAAAATTCTGAAACTTTGTGGGAATAATAATCAACAAATGTTATGGCGCTTGCAAAGTTTGGTGGTAAAAAATATTCAAGGAGCTCTATACAAAAAATACAAAAATCACTAAAAATAAGTCAAAATGTAATTGCACTGTTTGAGCAGATTTTGTAAATTTTTCTTTTTTGTACAGCGCTCCTCGAATGTTATTTGACCATCAAACTTTGCAAACACGAATAACATTTGTCGATGATCATTCCCACAAAGTTTCAGATTTTTTTAAAATATTTTACTATATTTGTTGCGTGGGTGCACCGTGGGAGCACTGAAGGTGGGTGCAACCACTACTTTCTTGTAGTGGTTTTTTACACCCCAACTCGGTGCACCCACACAAGAAAACATAGCAAAACATTTCAAAAATTCTGAAACTTTGTGCGAAAAATAATCAACAAATGTTATGGGGCTTGCAAAGTTTGGTGGTAAAAAAATATTCGAGGAGCTCTATACAAAAAAGACAAAAATCACTGAAAATAAGTCAAAATGTAAGTGCACTGTTTGAGCAGATTTTGTAAATTTTTCTTTTTTGTACGGAGATCCTCGAATGTTATTTGACCATCAAACTTTACAAACACCCATAACATTTGTTGATGATCATTCTCACAAAGTTTTATAATTTAAAAAATATTTTACTATGTTTTGTTGCGTGGGTGCAGCCACTACTTAGAGTGGTTTTTCTACACCCCAGCTCGGGGCATCCACGCAAGAAACCATAGCAAAACATTTCAAAAAATTCATAAACTTTGTGGGAATAATAATCAACAAATGTTTTGGCGCATGCAAAGTTTGATGGTAAAAGAAATATTCGATGAGCTCTATAAAAAATACAAAAAATCATTGAAAACAAGTCAAAATGTAAGTGCACTGTTTGAGCAGATTTTGTAAATTTGTCTTTTTTATACAGAGCTCCTCAGATGCTATTTGACCATCAAACTTTGCAAACACCCATAACATTTGTCGATGATCATTCCCACAAAGTTTCTTAATTTTTTAAATTATTTTACAATGTTTTGTTGCGTGGGTGCACCGAAGGTGGGTGCAGCCACTACTTTCTTGTATTAAGAGAGTCCTTTTTCTATACCCCAGCTCGGTGCACCCACGGTGCACCCACGCAAAAAAACATAGCAAAACATTTCAAAAAAATCTGAAACTTTATGGGAATGATCATCAACAAATGTTATGACGCTTGCAAAGTTTGGTGGTAAAAAAATATTCGAGGAGCTCTATACAAAAAAAACAAAAATCACTGAAAATAAGTTAAAATGTAAGTGCACTGTTTGAGCAGATTTTGTAAATTTGTATTTTTTGTATAGAGCTCCTCGAATGCTATTTGACCATCACACTTTGCAAACACCCATAACATTTGTCGATGATCATTCCTACAAAGTTTCAGAATTTTAAAAAATATTTTACTATGTTTTGTTACGTGGGTGCACCGTGGTTGCACCGAAGGTGGGTGCAGCCAGTACTTTCCCATGTATTAAGAGAGTGGTTTTTCTACACCCCAACTCGATGCACCCACACAAGAAAACATAGCAAAACATTTCAAAAAACTCTGAAACTTTATGGGAATGATCATCAACAAATGTTATGGCGTTTGCAAAGTTTGGGGGTAAAAAATATTCGAGGAGCTCTATAAAAAAGATAAAAATCATTGAAAATAAGTCAAAATGTAAGTGCACTGTTTGAGGAGATTTTGTAAATTTTTCTTTTTTGTATAGAGCTCCTCAAATTTTATTTGACCATCAAACTTTGCAAACACCCATAAAATTTGTCGATGATCATTCCCACAAAGTTTCGGAATTTTAAAAAACATTTGACTATGCTTTGCTGTGCGTGGGTGCCCCATGGTTGCACCGAAGGTGGGTGCAGCCACTAATTTCCCTTGTATTTGTATTAAGAGAGTAGTTTTTGTACAACCCGGCTCGGTGCACCACGCAAGAAAATATAGCAAAAAAAGTTAAAAAATTCTGAAACTTTGTGGGAATAATAATCAACAAATGTTATGACGCTTGCAAAGTTTCGTGGTAAATAAATATTCGAGGAGCTCTATACAAAAAGATAAAAATCACTGAAAATAAGTCAAAATGTAAGTGCACTGTTTAAGTAGGTTTTGTAAATTTGTCTTTTTTGTACAGAGCTCCTCGAATGTTATTTGACCATCAAACTTTGCAAACACCCATAACATTTGTCGATAATCATTCCCACAAAGTTTCAGAATTATTAAAAATATTTTACTATGTTTTGTTGCGTGGGTGCAGCCACTACTTTCCCTTGTATTGTAATAGAAAGTGGTTTTTCTACACCCCAGCTCGGTGCACCCATGGAAGAAAACATAGTAAAACATTTCAAAAAATTCTGAAACTTTGTGGGAATGATAATCAACAAATGTTATGGCGCTTGCAAAGTTTGGTGGTAAAAAATATTTGAGGAGCTCTATACAAAAAAGACAAAAATCACTGAAAATAACTCAAAATGTATGTGCACTGTTTGAGCAGATTTTGTAAATTTGTCTTTTTTGTACAGAGCTCCTCGAATGTTATTTGACCATCAAACTTTGCAACTACCCATAACATTTGTCGATGATCAATCCCAAAAAGTTTCAGATTTTTTTAAAATATTTTACTATGTTTGTTGCATGGGTGCACCGTGGGTGCAGCCACTACTAGAGAGTGATTTTTCTACACCCCAGCTCGGTGCACCCATGCAAGAAAATATAGCAAAACATTTTAAAAAATTCTGAAACTTTGTGGGAATGATAATCAACAAATGTTATGGCGCTTGCAATGTTTGGTGCTAATAAAATATTCGAGGAGCTCTATAAAAAAAGTCAAAAATCACTGAAAGTAAGTCAAAATGTAAGTGCACTGTTTGAGCAGATTTGTAAATTTGTCTTTTTTGTACAGAGCTCCTTGAATGTTATTTGACCATCAAACATTGCTAACACCCATAACATTTGTCGATGATTATTCCCACACATTTTCATTTTAAAAAAAATATTTTACTATGTTTTGTTGCATGGGTGCACCGTGGTTGCACCAAAGGTGGGTGCAGCCAGCCAGCCACTACTTCCCTTGTATTTGTATTATTTGTATTAAGAGAGCGGTTTTTCTACACCTCAGCTCGATGCACCCACGCATGAAAACATAGCAAAACATTTCAAAAAATTCTGAAATTTTGTGGGAATAATAATCAACAATGTTATGGCGCTTGCAAAGTTTGGTGGTAAAAATATATTCAAGGAGCTCTATACTAAAAAGACAAAAATCACTAAAAATAAGTCAAAATGTAAGTGCATTGTTTGAGCAGATTTTCTAAATTTGTCTTTTTTGTGCGCTGCAGAGGTTACATGCCACCAGAATGCATAGATGAAAACAAAATTTCACCCAAGTTTGACATATTCAGTTTTGGTGTAATAATTCTGGAGATAATATCAGGACACAGAAAGTACCCAGCTGTTAATGAGACGCCTTTCGATGACTTCATCGAAATTGTAAGAGAGCATCTTTGAGCTTTATGAAAATGTTGTTCCTCTTACACGGACCATTTACTTTTGCATACCCGTAACATTTCAACAGCAACTTGAAAGATGGCGAGAAAAAAGGCTGAATAAACATGACAATACTTCTTTCGAAATTGACTGCCAGCAGATAAAAAGATGCATTCGTATAGGTCTACTATGTGTGGATCCGGACAGGAAAAAGAGGCCTGAAATGAAGGATATTATCCAGAATCTTCATGATTATCTCAGTGAGGTAAGTTCATGAACATTGCCTCAGTGTGCACATCTTTTTTCTGCTCGTCGGACCACGCCATAAGCATTGCATTAATAATTTCAACCACTAGTTGTTACATGCTGAATTGCGTTAGTGAACTGTTGGGTACATACATATCTTACACGAATCGTGCTTTTTCCTGGTATATCTACTGCTGTTCCTTAAATATGGAGTTAAATCTTAACCAATCTTAAGCAATTTTATCTGTCTGTTTTTTTATAGTGTTTCTTCAAAGTGTAAATTCCTGACCCCTCAATTTTCCGGAACACCACCACCACCGCAATATATCTTTCCCAACTTGGCGACCATGTCTATTATGGATTTATGTCACACCATTACTTGCTAGCATTTGTCACAACACACTAAAAAATCATGAGTTCGGCAGGTACCATTACAATTCTGTTTTAATTTGCCAAAAAACACCACATGGCTAAAACGGAAAGTCTTAGTGGAATGACTGACTGCCACGGACCACCTCCAATCCCTCCTGCGGACACCAAGAAATTACGTTTTTGGCGGTGTGGTGTGCTTTGGTAAACTGATGCAGAATTGTAATGATACCGGACTAATTTATGATATTGATATTTTAATGTATTGTGATAAATGCCAGCAAATAATAGTGTGGTAGAGCAAAGTTTGCCTTTTCTTAACTTCATGGAAACGGGCACACACTCTACAGCATTCAAGCCAGATCAAAGGGCAAACAACTCTAGAGGATATCATCAAAAATCCCCGAAAGAAAGGGAAGGGGAAATGGCAGGGTCTGATGCCAACTTGAAGTAACTTGAAGTAGGAGTTGAGGTGAAAGCTAGGGTGGGTCTGATGCTGCCGAAGTTATTGGGGTGGGGGTAGGGGGAAGCTGTTTAGTTGTAGAAGACTACTATATGAGTTCAACCACCTAAGGCGATATTGTAGAAATATAATTGCCTAGTTTCCTCCATTAGACTGCTCTTTTGGTTGTATTGGCTAAACCATGCAATTCAACATAGTATCGGAGACCGAGGTCTCGAGTTTAAATCAAATTGGACGTTGAAGTATAATTGACTAGTCTCTTCCATCAGATATAGATGCCCATGCTTAAACCTCTTTTTTCACAGGATGTATCCGTACCAAAGGAGTTGATTGTGGTCGAGCCACGAGAGCTCCGGTTTTGCTTGGAGCCTAACAAGAGGATTCGTTGCCTCGTGAATATAACTAACATGACACATCAGCATGTCAGGTTTCATTGTAGGGTGAAGAAGGCGGCAAGCAACCACTACTCCTTCGAACCAGAAAAAGGCACCCTCTGTCCTTTACGCACATTAACTGTATCATTTGTAATTGAAGAGCCCTGGGAGTTACCATTCGACTTCCAGTGCCATGATCAACTAGTCGTGACGAGCACCGAGATGCCTGACATCAAACCCTTGCCAACCAGTATGAGACACAAAGTTAACTTGACAATTGTTTATGAGCGACCAGTTTATCCAGTCCAACCGCCTTCGGTACCCCGTGTGGGTTTTCTGGTATGTACCTAAAGCCCAAATTCAAATGAAAAAACCATTAGTTCATGGTGTTGCTTAGTTCTAAATCATCTCTAATCATGTGTTAAATCTGTGCTTTAATTAGGAAAACCAATACATGGATATATTGATTAACTGCATACGTCAGAATCTGGGATTCTTCAATGGTAGGCCTATTGCAGCTTGTGTTTTCTACAGGTGCCTATTACAATGGAAATCATTTGAAGCGGAAAGAACTGATCATTTCGATCGTATTATGACCTGTATGCATAGTGCAGTAAATGTAAGTAGCACATAATTTTTTATACTGCCTTTTATATATGTTATCTAAATATTCCTTCAGAGTACTACTGTCTAAGTTCCTACCCAATCAAAAGAACTTCTGATCTTTAACGAGTAAAAAATTGGTAGGTTTCCAGCAACATTTCCATTATCTGCCGTAGGAGTTGGTGCCCCGGATGAGGCCGCGCCCGTCCTTCTGCCGCTGTGACTGCCCCAGCGCAATAAGCAGCGCCGTCGGTGTATATACTATTTGCTTTTTATTTAGAGAGAAAATGGGAGTAGAAGATCGATTACGGTTTAGACAAATAGACGCGAGGGGTTTTCTGCGAAGCATGTTTAACTGGATTGGAGTAACAACCGATTTCATCTGGTACGTGCAATTTATGGAATGGAGGGAGTACTAGATTATAAGTTATAAATCTCAGAGGACTAGGTCATGAGTTGTAAAGCAGTATACCTGATGTATGAGAGAGAGATTTTTAAGGCTTAGTACTGCATCAGCTTTGGAGATAGGCATACGCAAATATATATTTTTGGCAACTATAGACAAATTTATAAAGGTGAGGTCGTGAGGACATCATCACTATCAGAGTAAGTCCTTTGGGAATACTGCTTATATTGCTATGGTGTTTTTTAGTTTGAGTCATATGTATAGAGGCCGAAGGAATTTAAAGACAAGACGCTTGTCTAGTGGATCGCATGTACAACCTCCGTTCCTAAAAACATGTCGCAGGTTTGAACTAAGGGAGTACAACATATGCCTACAATGCTGAATTAGCAGGTCCCCATTTCTGCACCACATGGATAACCTACGTTTAATATGTTTATTCGTTTAAACAGGACCAAGGCTATAGCGAGTTGGCATATTGGCTCTCCAATTCATGCACATTACTTGTGCTTATCCAACGAACATTCACTATATTCGGTCCTCGGAGACGTTTGAAATTTGTTGAACTAGTCAAGAGGATAATCAAGGTGAGGCCCTCGTCTTTTCCATTTTTTTAATGTTCATTCTTTATTTTATATCATGAAACATTCTCTATTTTCCAACAATTTTAGTCTGAATGTTTATTGATTGAAGGAACTGAAGCAAAATCCAGGTTTCCATAATACCCACTTGATTGAAGAATTGAGTGGCCATAAAGCCCGACGTGCTGCGATGCTTTTCAATGAGCGCCTTATATCTTTCCTTGAGAAGGTCTATGAAATAATGATCGACCATCTGACACAAGAGCTGCGGCAGTTGTTTTTTTGTAGCATCACGGTTTGAATAAATTTCTTTGGAATTCCTTTTTTAATATATATTTCCACAAAAAAGAGGTAATACTCAGCCCTTTTATTTTCTGGCACTTCTATTGCAGGAACCAACAATATCTCAAACTTCATTTGACCATTGGCAGGTCATTGAGCAAATATTAACCAAATACTCTACCGTTTTGAAATCCAATTATGTACGCAACCTAAACATATTATTTCAAGATCTATATCTCACCAAAATATCTATCATTATTTTTTATGTCA